CAAGTACGTCGCCGACCGCTTCGGTTACCGCATCGTCGACGACAATGTTGTGCCCAGAATGCGCAGCGACGCGCCGGAGGCTGAGGAGGACGATGATTAGATATGAAGTTGAAGGATTCGTCGAGAACGTCATGTTTGCCGCACCTTTTCAAATCTACATTAAAGAATATGTCAGATGTAATTAATAAATAATTTTATTTTCGTATGAATATGTCTTGATTATCCAGGAATTCAAAGTAAAACTCAAAAGACTTTATTCCGTTAGTTACAAAGGCTATTCTTTACGCATAAATAGCGTTATTATACAATATGGGATAAACATGAATAATATCAAACAAACGTGAAAAAAAATTACAGCAAGTAGTAATGTATTATTTATCAATTAATCTCTATAGTATTACCTGAAGTTTAGATATCCGATGCTACTGATGTAGTACTTTGCAATATTATACACACTAACTCAAACATATTTAAATATATATTCAATCCAGTTCTGAGCGGGAAAGAAATATTTCTTATACATTCCAAGTCTCGAATCCAAGGATATGAATTTGTTGCGCCTCCGATTCCGTAAATGTTTGGCATCTGGAGAGATGGATCGTTTTTTTTTTTTTTTTTTTTTTTTTTTCTTTTTTTTTTAATAGCTGTGGTAATGTCCAACATGGATAAGCTCCCTGCGTGATTTTTGAATGGGTATACATGTGCCATTCCTACATTTTTAGTTGACTTTCAACTATCAGTTTGTGTTAGGGAATATTTGCTAACATACATGAACATGTGCATGTATATCCATTATCACATATTCATGAGGTAACATGGACCCGCCCACAGCACAGGGAGCCAGGTTCTGTTCGTGTTCCGTTTGCTGCTTCTGAATCTGATTTATTTTTCTTGTTACGTCAGTGTGCAATGTTCCTTTGTTATCTGCATTTCCAATGTATGAACAGAGGTATTTTGTCGTTCATATAACTGTTCGCAGAGCATTTTTTCTCTCTTCGTCTCACTGTCACTGCATTATAAAATGCTATTATAATCATGATAATAATGGGAATAACGTTCATCGAGATAGTAGTAATGATAATAATTTCAGTATTATCATTGTTATGGGAATGATTTATTAATACTAATGCTAGTAATGATAGTGTGATCTAGGTTAATCGATAAATTTATTTGATTTTCTTTTTATTAGTAAAAGATATCATAATATAGTTTTCAGTTATAATATCCAAATAAGTAACAACAGAAGATTGTATAAATATTCACATATCTCCGTTGGTGTTCAAATTCTCTCATGATTCGAAGGCAATGATAACAGTAGGAACAATGATAATAATAATGGTAAAAACAACAATTATAATGATATTGAGAATATTAATGATAGAAGCGATAGCGATACGAACAGTAGCAATAATGGTTCTGATAATGGCAGCTATGTAACTGTTGTGAATAATATTGACAAATATTAAACCAATCATTATAATATTACATGTTAAAGAGGATATGAAGGTTTAAAAGGGAGAAAGAGCATTAAAGCGCAAGACAGCTATTAAATAATGATAATAATACTAATGATAATTTTTGTTGCATCAACAATAGTAATAACAGTAATGATAATGATAATCATAGTGATAATAATCATCATAATATCACTACTACTACTAATGATAATTAGGCTAGAAAGAAAAAAGTGATAATAACAATGATAATGATAATAATGATAATTACAGTAAAAATAATAATGATAGTATTAACGGTTAAAAATAATAATGATAATACTAACGGTAAAAATAATAATGATAATAAAAATAATGACTATGATAATAATGACACCCATATGAATTTATGATAATTAAACACTAATAACAGCACCATTGGCGTTGATCATACCTCTGGCATTAGTATAGATCATAATCATGGAACAATAAAGCCAACAATGATGATAATGGTAATGATAATAATTATCCTTTATATAAGAACGATAATGAGGGTCATGAAGATTATGATTGTAAAAATATCATTATAGTTGGAATTATGATAAAAAATACAAAAGTAACATAAACAAAAATGTAAATATAAACAAAAGTAAAAGGAGTTTAGAAAAAAAACGACAATTATATCCTACAAATTCGTCTAGATTCAGGATCAAATAATTGTTTATGTAAAATATATGAATAAATGAATAACATACATAAATTAAAGTAAACATTTTATCTTAAGAGCGCGTGGAAAACCTCTTAATGAAAAAATAAAGCAAAATGGCACCAGGTTCAAGAGCATCAGGCAGGACGGGGAAGGAACCCCTGCTCCTCACGCCCCGAGGTATAAATTGCCGTCCGAGCAACAGACAAGCAGCAGTTGCTCCCCTGAATCTCGCAAGCATGAAGGTTCTGGTGAGTCTCTCTCGCAAATCAAATTCTAATGCTTAGTTTATGCCATATATTTGACGATGTATAGGATGGTAACATGTGGAACAGAATGACATTTAGATATTTTTCTTTTAAGAATATCTTTGCAGGCATTGTGACAGTAAGAGTACTTTTAGGTGTAACACTTTATGTGAAGACTTTTGCGGTAAGAAAATTGTGATGCCATGTGGAAAACTTTTCAGATTCTCTTCGCTCTGGGTCTGGTCGCCCTGGCCGCCGCCCGACCCTCCGACATCATCGACTTCGAGGAGGACCACATGGAGCACGAGCAGGAGGGCATTCCTGGAACGGCCGTGGAGGGCGAGTACTCGTGGTAGCCCGACGGGAACGAGTACCACGTCAAGTACGTCGCCGACCACAACGGGTACCGCATCGTCGACGACAACGTTGTGCCCAGAATGCGCAGCGACGTGCCGGAAGTTGAGGAGGACGATGATTAGACGTGAAGTTGAAGGATTCGTCGAGAACGTCATGTTTGCCGCAACTATTCAATATCTACTTTAAAAAATGTACCAGATGTAATTAATGAAAAATATAAATATATATATTTTCGTATAAATACGTCTTGATTATCCAGGAATTTAAAGTAAAACTCAAAACACTTTATTCCTTTAATTACAAAGATTATTCTTTACACATAAATGGCTAATTATATAACACAATAATATGAGATAAACATGAATATCAAGCAAACATATGGAAAAAAATATCTATTTATTAATCTTTATAGTATTACGTGAAGTTGAGATAACCGATGTTACGGATGCAGTACTTTACAATATTATATCCATATATGAGGTCGTTGATTGGAAGCCTCGAATCCAAGGAGATGCATTTGCTGCGCCTCTGATTCCGTTTATGTTTGGGGATCTGGAGAGTTTGATCGTGTCATTGAAACACCTGTTGTCTTTTGATGTCTGTGGTAATGTCCAATGTGGATCATTTCCCTGCGTGATTTTTGAATGTGTAATTCTTACACTTTTAGTTATACTTTCAACTATTAGCTTGTGTTAGGGAATATGTGATTAAATACATAAACATGTGCATGTATATTCATTACCACACTCATATGTAAACATGGACCCGCCCACAGCACAAGGAACAAATCTGATTATTATTTTTCTTGTTATGTCAGTGTGTAATTTTTCCTTTGTTATTTACATTTCCATGTTTATGAACAGAGTCGTTCATGTAACTGTTCACAGAGCATTTTTTTCTCTTCGTCTACTGTCACTGTAAGAAAATTAATGAATAGTTCTAATAATCGTTTTTCTCTCTCACTCCTCAATTATAGAAATAAAGAGTTGAGCGCACACACATATATACAAACACATACACATATACAAACACAAACGTATGTGTGTGTGTTCGCGCGCATGTATGTATACTTATAAACTTAAACAAAAACAAAATCCTGAAAGTATTCCTATAATCACTTAATCCGAAAACTTTTTACCGCAGCCACAAGAAAAAGAAGAAGAGGAAGAAGAAAAACGAGTCGCTGAAAGGCTACATGTACCAAAAAGATAGTGCATCGGAACCAAGTTGATGACAATCACGACGATATGACTACGACTGACATTGCTAAAACTACTAGAAGCTACTGTCAAGAGTATGGTTTATAATTTTAACAATCACATTATGATAAATGGTAATGGAAAGGGGCTGTCATATAGAATTATATATTTGATATTCCGAAATGAGAGAGAGAAAAAAATAGGAAAACAGGAGCGATTCTAAAAATGCTGATTTTAAAATTGCTCTCTATAAAGGATTAGTAAGCATAATAACTATGGTAATTGCAACTATGCTAATGATGCTAATACCGATAACATAAAGATGATAACGTTAACAATAATAATCATAGTAAGAGCAAGTGGAATGTCAACAGTAATATAAAATATATGAAGCTAGTGTGATTAGTGACAATGTTATAACAATGATGAAAGTAGTAACAATGACTGATAACAAATACAACGATTAATAAGGATGATATTGAAAATAATAATCAGTAAAGCTCATAATGATTGCTGTTGTGGAAGTGTAATACCAGCAAAAGTAACAGTAATTCTGATAAAATGTCTATCAATAGCAAGAATAATACAAACGACGATATCAATATTAATTATGATACTACTTGTGATATTATTCGATAAAGATATTCTTCAGGAAAATGGTCCTGGGCAAAGATAGCGATAACAGTAATGATAGGGATATCAATACGATAACGATGCTAATGATACTGACAGATGCATCAACTGAAAAACATAGTTATTAATGTTAAAGAATGAGGAAAAATATATAGATTATATTAAACAATAACAATTAAACAGCAATGCATAAATAGACCTAAAAATAAACGATATAAACAAGACAAAACCGAATCTAATACAATACAATCTTGATTCAATTTCTAGTAAAAAATACATAGAAATTGATTTACATTGAAATGCTGAGTAAAATGTCGCCAGGTTCAAGAGCATCAAACAGGACAGGAAAGGAACCCTCCTCCATGCTCCCGACTTGTCCTCGTCAGAAGGTCGTGTCGGGAGGTATAAATTGCCGTCCAAACAACAGGCAAGCATCAGTTGTCATCCTAGACTCACAAAATGAAGATTCTGGTGAGTGTCCGTTGCAATCGCTCTTGCAATGGAAGGTTTACTTTTAGATCTCGGCTCTCTCCCAATTTCTACATGGGGTCGCCGTTATGGATGAACCGCCTCCACTGATTTCTTTCTCTTGCTTCCTCTTCTGTGATTTCTTTCAATTGCGTCATCTCGTACACAGTCTCGCCATCTCTTCCTTCTACCCTGAACTTCCATCTTCATTGTATGTTTTCAAACAGTATTTGTTCTTCCTTCCTGCATTTTCTTTGATATTTCTACCACTTTTGTTGATCCTCTTATGTACTCATTCCTAATCTTATCCTCTCTTGTTTCCCCAAACATCCACCTCAACATTGTCATTATCTGCTCCATCCATCCTTTTCTCCTCTGTCCTTTATCATACATACTGTTTCTGCTCCATACAACAGAGCTGGTCTAATAACTGTTCTATTAGACCGACTTTATTGTATGGAAGATATTGAAAGGTTTGCTTTTGGATATTGTAATTTAATTGCTACAGAATTATGACTATATTGTAAACGTTTCAGATTCTCTTCGCTCTGGGTCTGGTCGCCCTGGCCGCCGCCCGACCCTCCGACATCATCGACTTCGAGGAGGACCACATGGAGCACGAGCAGGAGGGCATCCCAGGAACGGCCGTGGAGGGCGAGTACTCGTGGGTAGCGCCCGACGGGAACGAGTACCACGTCAAGTACGTCGCCGACCGCTTCGGTTACCGCATCGTCGACGACAACGTTGTGCCCAGAATGCGCAGCGACGAGCCGGAAGCTGAGGAGGACGATGATTAGATAGGAATTATGTATTAGATATAAATGATTAAATAATGTTCACTATAAAAGAACTTTATTTTCCCTCGGCCTTACCTCCCGCGGTTCGCCTGTTCACTTTCTCTCTGGACGAAACGATGAATATATGTAAAAAAAAAAAGAAAAAAAAAAAATCATATTACTTTACATAATCCCCAGTCACAGGCATAACCCAACGGAATCCCATCCAAAACGAATGCATATGCATTGCTCAAAGGTTAATTTAAGTCTTCACTGCAGATTTTCATTGCAAACAACTTTTTCCCTTACTTTTATATTTTTCTTTTCTCTCTTTATATATTGGGAGTTTCCTTTGCATAACTAGGTACTGGTGCTTGTCTAGATTTCTTATGAATAGCATTTGATACGACAGGAAGCTATGATTTCTAAATATGAATAAAGATCATAACTGAAAAAAGTAACAATACCGTATCATCATTTCCCTTTCTGTTTTTGGAATAAAGCTTTTTTTTTTTTTTTTTATAATCGTCCATTTACTAATAATGTTAACAATATATTAGATGGACTACTACTCATACGTAAACCAGAAATGAACAACACGTTAAAAACTTTCTTTAACATAACGAACATAGATTTGGCTAAATAGAGAAGTACTAAACAGTAAATAGAAAGATGTAAAGAAGCATGCAATGACCTCAGACACGTCGGTTACGCATTTTGGGCACATCGTTGTTGTGACACGCGGTACCCGTTGTGGTCGGCGACGTACTTGACGTGGTACTCGTTCCCGTCGGGCGCTACCCACGAGTATTCGCCCTCCACGGCCGTTCCTGGGATGCCCTCCTGCTCGTGCTCCATGTGGGTTCGAAGTCGAGTGCGTTCGTCGGTAAGAAAAATATCACATATCTTAAAACTTTTCCCAATGCAAGAATAATCTTTATTATCGTTATTATCGTTANTAGAGAGTATTCTGTATTGATGCCAGTTCTCTTGCCAAAATAAACTCTAATTAATGCGTTAGTGTGTGGAATAGATTCGGACGCTGCCTATTCCCTAGGATAGGTAAACAGACATGGTGGAATAGCATATTTAGATTTTTACACCTGTTTTAGCCTTACAAGTATCCTAGCGAGAAACTTTAGAAAGCCCTTCTACAATAGTTTATTGCTATATAGAAGGGCCAAAATTCTTAACAAATATGCTATTATTCGCACCATCCCTCCGCTTGTTGGGAACAGGTGAGGAATGGTGATTCCTAATCTAGCGCATTGGAAATTCGTCTATTGTTTATGATTACAATCTTCTCGCTTCTATTCAGTCGGTGATTTGTTACCATTGCCTATTACAGCGTATACCATTCCCGAACATGACTCCTGTTTTGCACTAACAACATCTTGTACTTAGTTCCTTGACGCTTGTATGAATATGATAAGGAAATCCTGACACAGTACAAAACAATGTGTCATTTCGTAATACAAATGTTGCAGGTTCTCTTCGCTCTGGGTCTGGTCGTCCTGGCCGCCGCCCGACCCTCCGACATCATCGACTTCGAGGAGGACCACATGGAGCACGAGCAGGAGGGCGTCCCAGGAACGGCCGTGGAGGGCGAGTACTCGTGGGTAGCGCCCGACGGGAACGAGTACCGCGTCAAGTACGTCGCCGACCGCTTCGGTTACCGCATCGTCGACGACAACGTTGTGCCCAGAATGCGCAGCGACGTGCCGGAAGCCGAGGAGGACGATGATTAGATGTGAAGTTGAAGGACTCGCCAAGAACGTCATGTTTGCCGCACCTTTCAAATCTACATTAAAGGATATGCCAGATGTAATTAATAAATAATATTTTCGTATGAATATGTCTTGATTATCCAGGAATTCAAAGTAAAACTCAAAAGACTTTATTCCGTTAGTTACAAAGGCTATTCTTTACGCATAAATAGCGTTATTAAACAATATGGGATGAACATGAATAATATCAAACAAACACGTGAAAAAAATACAGCAAGTAGTAATGTTTTATTTATCAATTAATCTCTATAGTATTACCTGAAGTTTAGATATCCGATGCTACTGATGTAGTACTTTGCAATATTATACACACTAACTCAAACATATTTATATGTATATTCAATCCAGTTCTGAGCGGGAAAGAAATATTTCTTATATATTCCGTCTCGAATCCAAGGATATGAATTTGTTGCGCCTCCGATTCCGTAAATGTTTGGCATCTGGAGAGATGGATCGTTTTTTTTTTTTTTTTTTTTTTTTTTCTTTTTTTTAATAGCTGTGGTAATGTCCAACATGGATAAGCTCCCTGCGTGATTTTTGAATGGGTATACATGTGCCATTCCTACATTTTTAGTTGACTTTCAACTATTAGTTTGTGTTAGGAATATTTGCTTAAATACATGAACATGTGCATGTATATCCATTATCATATATTCATAAGGTAACATGGACCCGCCCACAGCACAAGGAGCAAAGGTTCTGTTCGTGTTCCGTTTGCTGCTTCTGAATCTGATTTATTTTTCTTGTTATGTCAGTGTGCAATGTTCCTTTGTTGTTCGCATTTCCATGTTATGAACAGAGGTATTTTGTCGTTCATATAACTGTTTGCAGAGCATTTTTTCTCTCTTCGTCTCACTGCCATTGTATTATAAAAATGTTATTATAGTCATGATAATAATGGTAATGATGTTGATCGAGATAGTAGTAATGATAATAATTTCAGTATTATCATTGTAATGAGAATGATTTAATACTAATGCTAGTAATGATAGTGTGGTCTAGGATAATTGATACATTTATTTGATTTTCTTTTTATTAGTAAAAGATAGCATAATATAGTTTTCAGTTATGATATCCAAATAAGTAACAAAAGAAGATTGAATAAATATTCACATATCTCCGTTGGTTTTTAAATTCTCTCATGATTCGATGGCAATGATAACAGTAGGAACAATGATAATAATAATGGTAAAAACAACAATTATAATGATATTGAGAATATTATGATAGAAGCGATAATGATAAGAACAGTAGCAATAATGGTAATGGCAGCCAGGAAACTATTGTAAATAATATTGACAAATATTAGACCAATCATTATATTACATATTAAAGAAAGTATGAAGGTTTAAAAGGGAGAAAGAACATCAAAGCGCAAGAAAGCTATTAAATAAAGGATGATAATAATACTACGGATAATATTTGTTGCATCAACAATAGTAATAATAAGGATAATGATGATAATCATAGTAATAATAATCATCATAATATCACTACTACTACTAATGATAAATAGACCAGAAAGAAAAATATGATAATGATAATAATAATGATAATTACAGTAAAAATAATAATGATAATGATACTAACGGTAAAAAACAGTAATGATAAAAATAATGGCTATGATCATAATGACACTGATATGAATTCATGATAATCAAAATAACACTAATAACAGCACCATTGGCGTTGATCATACATCTGGCATTAGTATAGATTATAATCATGGTAACAATAAAGTCAACAATGATGATAATGGTAATGATAATAATTATCCTTTTTATAAGGACGAGAATGAGGATCATGAAGATTATGATTGTAAAAATATCATTATAGTTGGAAGGATGATAAAAAAAATACAATAGTAAATATAAACAAATAAAATAAACAAATATAAAAGGAGTTTAGAAAAAAAAAGACAATTATGTCCTACAAATTCGTCTTGATACAGGATCAACCAATTGTTTATGTAAAATATATGAATAAATGAATAAGATACTTAAATTAAAATAAACATTTTATTTTAAGAGCGAGTGAAAAACCTCTGAATCAAAAATCAAAATGGCACCAGGTTCAAGAGCATCGAGCAGGACGGGGAAGGAACCCCTGCTCCTCACGGCCCCGAGGTATAAATTGCCGTCCGAGCAACAGACAAGCAGCAGTTGCTCCCCTGAATCTCGCAAGCATGAAGGTTCTGGTGAGTCTCTCTTGCAAATTAAATTCTAATGCTTAGTTTGTGGCATAGATTCGACGCTGTATAGGATGGTAACAGCGATGTGGAATAGCATATTAGATTTTTAAACTTTAGCTTCAGTTCTGTAGACTTTCCATTGCAGGCATTGTGACAGGGAGGAATGCCTAATCTAGATGAAATCGTATTGTTACTGATTCTCTTCGCTTCTATTGCAGTCGGTGTTGCAATAAAACATCTTGTACTTAGTTCTGACGCTGTGTTAGGAATCTGACAATACAAAACAGCGTCATTTCGTAATACAAATGTTGCAGGTTCTCTTCGCTCTGGGTCTGGTCGCCCTGGCCGCCGCCCGACCCTCCGACATCATCGACTTCGAGGAGGACCACATGGAGCACGAGCAGGAGGGCATTCCCGGAACGGCCGTGGAGGGCGAGTACTCGTGGGTAGCGCCCGACGGGAACGAGTACCACGTCAAGTACGTCGCCGACCGCTTCGGTTACCGCATCGTCGACGACAACGTTGTGCCCAGAATGCGCAGCGACGCGCCGGAGGCTGAGGAGGACGATGATTAGATATGAAGTTGAAGGACGTCGAGAACGTCATGTTTGCCGCACCTTTTCAAATCTACATTAAAGAATATGTCAGATGTAATTAATAAATAATTTTATTTTCGTATGAATATGTCTTGATTATCCAGGAATTCAAAGTAAAACTCAAAAGACTTTATTCCGTTAGTTACAAAGGCTATTCTTTACGCATAAATAGCGTTATTAACAATATGGGAAACATGAATAATATCAAAACAAACGTGAAAAAAAATTACAGCAAGTAGTAATGTATTATTTATCAATTAATCTCTATAGTATTACCTGAAGTTTAGATATCCGATGCTACTGATGTAGTACTTTGCAATATTATACACACTAACTCAAACATATTTAAATATATATTCAATCCAGTTCTGAGCGGGAAAGAAATATTTCTTATACATTCCAAGTCTCGAATCCAAGGATATGAATTTGTTGCGCCTCCGATTCCGTAAATGTTTGGCATCTGGAGAGATGGATCGTTTTTTTTTTTTTTTTTTTTTTTTTTTTTTTTTTTAATAGTGGTAATGTCCAACATGGATAAGCTCCCTGCGTGATTTTTGAATGGGTATACATGTGCCATTCCTACATTTTTAGTTGACTTTCAACTATCAGTTTGTGTTAGGGAATATTTGCTAACATACATGAACATGTGCATGTATATCCATTATCATATATTCATAAGGTAACATGGACCCGCCCACAGCACAAGGAGCAAAGGTTCTGTTCGTGTTCCGTTTGCTGCTTCTGAATCTGATTTATTTTTCTTGTTACGTCAGTGTGCAATGTTCCTTTGTTATCTGCATTTCCAATGTATGAACAGAGGTATTTTGTCGTTCATATAACTGTTCGCAGAGCATTTTTTCTCTCTTCGTCTCACTGTCACTGCATTATAAAATGCTATTATAATCATGATAATAATGGGAATAACGTTCATCGAGATAGTAGTAATGATAATAATTTCAGTATTATCATTGTTATGGGAATGATTTATTAATACTAATGCTAGTAATGATAGTGTGATCTAGGTTAATCGATAAATTTATTTGATTTTCTTTTTATTAGTAAAAGATATCATAATATAGTTTTCAGTTATAATATCCAAATAAGTAACAACAGAAGATTGTATAAATATTCACATATCTCCGTTGGTGTTCAAATTCTCTCATGATTCGAAGGCAATGATAACAGTAGGAACAATGATAATAATAATGGTAAAAACAACAATTATAATGATATTGAGAATATTAATGATAGAAGCGATAGCGATACGAACAGTAGCAATAATGGTTCTGATAATGGCAGCTATGTAACTGTTGTGAATAATATTGACAAATATTAAACCAATCATTATAATATTACATGTTAAAGAGGATATGAAGGTTTAAAAGGGAGAAAGAGCATTAAAGCGCAAGACAGCTATTAAATAATGATAATAATACTAATGATAATTTTTGTTGCATCAACAATAGTAATAACAGTAATGATAATGATAATCATAGTGATAATAATCATCATAATATCACTACTACTACTAATGATAATTAGGCTAGAAAGAAAAAAGTGATAATAACAATGATAATGATAATAATGATAATTACAGTAAAAATAATAATGATAGTATTAACGGTTAAAAATAATAATGATAATACTAACGGTAAAAAATAATAATGATAATAAAAATAATGACTATGATAATAATGACACCCATATGAATTTATGATAATTAAACACTAATAACAGCACCATTGGCGTTGATCATACCTCTGGCATTAGTATAGATCATAATCATGGAACAATAAAGCCAACAATGATGATAATGGTAATGATAATAATTATCCTTTATATAAGAACGATAATGAGGGTCATGAAGATTATGATTGTAAAAATATCATTATAGTTGGAATTATGATAAAAAATACAAAAGTAACATAAACAAAAATGTAAATATAAACAAAAGTAAAAGGAGTTTAGAAAAAACGACAATTATATCCTACAAATTCGTCTAGATTCAGGATCAAATAATTGTGTATGTAAAAATATATGAATAAATGAATAACATACATAAATTAAAGTAAACATTTTATCTTAAGAGCGCGTGGAAAACCTCTTAATGAAAAAATAAAGCAAAATGGCACCAGGTTCAAGAGCATCAGGCAGGACGGGGAAGGAACCCCTGCTCCTCACGGCCCCGAGGTATAAATTGCCGTCCGAGCAACAGACAAGCAGCAGTTGCTCCCCTGAATCTCGCAAGCATGAAGGTTCTGGTGAGTCTCTCTTGCAAATCAAATTCTAATGCTTAGTTATATATTTGACGAAGTATAGGATGGTAACATGTGGAACAGAATGACATTTAGATATTTTTCTTTTAAGAATATCTTTGCAGGCATTGTGACAGTAAGAGTACTTTTAGGTGTAACACTTTATGTGAAGACTTTTGCGGTAAGAAAATTGTGATGCCATGTGGAAAACTTTTCAGATTCTCTTCGCTCTGGGTCTGGTCGCCCTGGCCGCCGCCCGACCCTCCGACATCATCGACTTCGAGGAGGACCACATGGAGCACGAGCAGGAGGGCATTCCTGGAACGGCCGTGGAGGGCGAGTACTCGTGGGTAGCGCCCGACGGGAACGAGTACCACGTCAAGTACGTCGCCGACCACAACGGGTACCGCATCGTCGACGACAACGTTGTGCCCAGAATGCGCAGCGACGTGCCGGAAGTTGAGGAGGACGATGATTAGACGTGAAGTTGAAGGATTCGTCGAGAACGTCATGTTTGCCGCAACTATTCAATATCTACTTTAAAAAATGTACCAGATGTAATTAATGAAAAATATAAATATATATATTTTCGTATAAATACGTCTTGATTATCCAGGAATTTAAAGTAAAACTCAAAACACTTTATTCCTTTAGTTACAAAGACTATTCTTTAAACATACATAGCTAATATATACAATAATATGAGATAACCATGAATATCAAGCAAACATATGGAAAAAATATTCTATTTATTTATCTTTATAGTATTACGTAAAGTTGAGATAACCGATGTTACGGATGCAGTACTTTACAATATTATATCCATATATGAGGTCGTTGATTGGAAGCCTCGAATCCAAGGAGATGCATTTGCTGCGCCTCTGATTCCGTTTATGTTTGGGGATCTGGAGAGTTTGATCGTGTCATTGAAACACCTGTTGTCTTTTGATGTCTGTGGTAATGTCCAATGTGGATCATTTCCCTGCGTGATTTTTGAATGTGTAATTCTTACACTTTTAGTTATACTTTCAACTATTAGCTTGTGTTAGGGAATATGTGATTACATACATAAACATGTGCATGTATATTCATTACCACACTCATATGTAAACATGGACCCGCCCACAGCACAAGGAACAAATCTGATTATTATTTTTCTTGTTATGTCAGTGTGTAATTTTTCCTTTGTTATTTACATTTCCATGTTTATGAACAGAGTCGTTCATGTAACTGTTCACAGAGCATTTTTTTCTCTTCGTCTACTGTCACTGTAAGAAAATTAATGAATAGTTCTAATAATCGTTTTTCTCTCTCACTCCTCAATTATAGAAATAAAGAGTTGAGCGCACACACATATATACAACACATACACATATACAAACAAACGTATGTGTGTGTGTTCGCGCGCATGTATGTATACTTATAAACTTAAAACAAAACAAAATCCTGAAAGTATTCCTATAATCACTTAATCCGAAAACTTTTTACCGCAGCCACAAGAAAAAGAAGAAGAGGAAGAAGAAAAACGAGTCGCTGAAAGGCTACATGTACCAAAAAGATAGTGCATCGGAACCAAGTTGATGACAATCACGACGATATGACTACGACTGACATTGCTAAAACTACTAGAAGCTACTGTCAAGAGTATGGTTTATAATTTTAACAATCACATTATGATAAATGGTAATGGAAAGGGGCTGTCATATAGAATTATATATTTGATATTCCGAAATGAGAGAGAGAAAAAAATGGGAAAACAGGAGCGATTCTAAAAATGCTGATTTTAAAATTGCTCTCTATAAAGGATTAGTAAGCATAATAACTATGGTAATTGCAACTATGCTAATGATGCTAATACCGATAACATAAAGATGATAACGTTAACAATAATAATCATAGTAAGAGCAAGTGGAATGTCAACAGTAATATAAAATATATGAAGCTAGTGTGATTAGTGACAATGTTATAGCAATGATGAAAGTAAAGTAACAATGACTGATAATAAATACAACGATTGATAAGGATGATATTGAAAATAATAATCAGTGAAGCTCATGATGATTGCTATAGTGGAAGTGTATTACCAGCAGAAGTAACAGTAATTCTGATAAAATGTCTAACAGTAACAATAAGAATAATACAAACGACGATATCAATATTAATTATGATACTACTTGTGATAATATTAGGTAAGGAAGATTTTCTTCAAGAAAATGGTCCTGTGCAAAGATAGCGATAACAGTAATGATAGGGATATCAATACGATAACGATGCTAATGATACTGACAGATGCATCAACTGAAAAACAGTATTACTTTTAAAGAATGAGGAAAAATATATAGATTATATTAAACAATAACAATTAAACAGCAATGCATAAAATAGACCTAAAAAATAAACAAGATATAAACAAAATAAAACAGAATCTAATACAATAGAATCTTGATTCAATTTCTAGTAAAAAAACATAGAAATTGATTACATGAAATGCTGAGTAAAATGTCGCCAGGTTCAAGAGCATCAAACAGGACAGGAAAGGAACCCTCGCTCCTCATGCTCCCGACTTGTCCTCGTCAGAAGGTCGTGTCGGAGAGGTATAAATTGCCGTCCAAACAACAGGCAAGCATCAGTTGTCATCCTAGACTCACAAAATGAAGATTCTGGTGAGTGTCCGTTGCAATCGCTCTTGCAATGGAAGGTTTACTTTTAGATCTCAGCTTTCTCCCAATTTCTATGTGGGGTCGCCGTTATGGATGAGCCACCTCCACTGATTTCTTACTTTTGCTTCCTCTTCTGTGATTTCTTTCAATTGCGTCATCTCGTACACGACAGCTTCTCTTCCTTCCCTGAACTTCCATCTTCATTGTATGTTTTCAAAACATAGTATTTGTTCTTCCTGCATTTTCTTTGATATTTCTACCACCTTTGTTGATCCTCTTATGTACTCATTCCTAATCTTATCCTCTCTTGTTTCCCCAAACATCCACCTCAACATTGTCATTTCTGCTATCCATCCATCCTTTCCTCTGTCCTTTATCATACATACTGTTTCTGCTCCATACAACAGAGCTGGTCTAATAACTGTTCTATTAGACCGACTTTATTGTATGGAAGATATTGAAAGGTTTGCTTTTGGATATTGTAATTTAATTGCTACAGAATTATGACTATATTGTAAACGTTTCAGATTCTCTTCGCTCTGGGTTTGGTCGCCCTGGCCGCCGCCCGACCCTCCGACATCATCGACTTCGAGGAGGACCACATGGAGCACGAGCAGGAGGGCGTCCCAGGAACGGCCGTGGAGGGCGAGTACTCGTGGGTAGCCCGACGGGAACGAGTACCACGTCAAGTACGTCGCCGACCGCTTCGGTTACCGCATCGTCGACGACAACGTTGTGCCCAGAATGCGCAGCGACGCGCCGGAAGCTGAGGAGGACGATGATTAGATAGGAATTATGTATTAGATATAAATGATTAAATAATGTTCACTATAAAAGAACTTTATTTTCCCCCGGCCTTACCTCCCGCGGTTCGCCTGTTCACTTTCTCTCTGGACGAAACGATGAATATATGTAAAAAAAAAAAGAAAAAAAAAATCATATTACTTTACATAATCCCCAGTCACAGGCATAACCCAACGGAATCCCACCCAAAACGAATGCATATGCATTGCTCAAAGGTTAATTTAAGTCTTCACAGCAGATTTTCATTGCAAACAACTTTTTTTCCCTCTTTTATATTTTTCTTTTATCTCTTTATATATTGGGAGTTTCCTTTGCATAACTAGGTACTGGTGCTTGTCTAGATTTATCATGAATAGCATTTGATACGACAGGAACTATGATTTCTAAATATGAATAAAGATCATAACTGAAAAAAAGTAATAAGTACCGTATCATCATTTCCCTTTCTGTTTTTGGAATAAAGCTTTTTTTTTTTTTTTTTTATAATCGTCCATTTACTAATAATGTTAACAATATATTAGATGAATTATTTATACGTAAACCAGTAAATGAACAGCACGTTAAAAACTTACTACTAACATAACGAATACATAGATTTGGCTAAATAGAGAAGTAACTAAACAGTAGAATAGAAAGATGTAAAGAAGTATGCAATGACCTCAGACACGTCGGTTACGCATTTTGGGCACATCGTTGTCCTCGACGACGCGGTAACCGAACTGGTCGGCGATGTACTTGACGTGGTACTCGTTCCCGTCGGGCGCTACCCACGAGTACTCGCCCTCCACGGCCGTCCCTGGGGCGCCCTCCTGCTCGTGCTCCATGTGGTTCGAAGTCGAGTGCGTTCGTCGGTAAGAAAAATATCACATATTCTTAAAACTTTTCCCAATGCAAGAATAATCTTTAATATCGTTATTATCGTTATTGTTATTATCATCTTTACTGTTTTTGTTATTTTGACTATCCTTATGATCATATATTTCTTTGAATTAACTTTGCTATTCATGTCATTTTTAGTTATCAATATTGATGTTATTGCTATTGGTGTCGCCATTATGACAATTTTCATCAGACAAAACAGGTTTTGAGAATCTGCTTACGAAAAGAAGATACATATTTAGATAACTATATCTGTCTATTCATCAATCTGTCTATCTATTAATCACACACACATAATAATGATATATATACACATATACGTACATACACCCACATTATCTGTCTATCTATATATGTATACAAAGATATATGTACACATACATTTTGCATGTATATATATATATATATATATATATATATATATATATATATATATATATATATATATACATACAAATATACATATTATATATATATATATATATATATATATATATATATATATATATATATATATATTATATATATATAACCGTTACACCGTACACTGCGGACTGTTAACCAAACTTTCAATATATGAATACCTAGTCAACTAACCACAGGATATTCCTACAATACGAACGATTAACAGATTGATATGTAACGAAAACTACTACTCTCTTTACGGCCACTTCTTGTTACCTGAGAAAACTGTCAATCAAATATCTAGTTACTATCATTTTCGAGAGCTCCCGTTGCAACCTTTGTCGAAATGTTAATCATAAAGAAAGATTCGGAAAAAATGGACACAGTGATATCCTGCACTGGCCTTTTGAGTGACTACTTTCGCAAGTAATAACAATGATGGTAATAGCAATACATTCCCTCTCTCTCTCTCAATCTGTTAATATATACACACAAATATATGCTTGTATGTATGCATGTATCTCTCCCTTTATATACACATGCATATATAAATGTGTGTGTGTGTGTCGTGTGTATGTGTGTGTATATATACATGTGTGTACATATTATATATATATATATATATATATATATATATATATATATATATATATATATATATATATATATATATATATATATATGCATATATGTAGAGAGAGAGAGAACGGGAATGACAAAATCATATACATGAATACTAAAAAGGGCAAAAACATGACCGTCTCTTTTCGTGGTCCCAATGTGTCCTCGCCAGAAGGCCATGTCGCCGGGTATATATTGAAGCCCAAGCAAACAGCAAGCATCAGTCACTCTTCAGATCCTCACCAACATGAAAGTACTTGTGAGTTTGATTTCTCGATTCTCAGCCTCGAAATATCCATTGGCTTTTTGGCTATATATCAATCGGTATTAAAGGGACGAACAACGGAGTGAAATATAATTCTCGTAATATTTATTCTTTCGTAGGTTCTCTTCGCTCTGGGTCTGGTCGCCCTGGCGGCCGCTCGACCCTCCGACATCATCGACTTCGAGGAGGACCACATGGAGCACGAGCAGGAGGGCATCCCAGGAACGGCCGTGGAGGGCGAGTACTCGTGGGTAGCGCCCGACGGGAACGAGTACCACGTCAAGTACATCGCCGACCGCTTCGGTTACCGCATCGTCGACGACAACGTTGTGCCCAGAATGCGCAGCGACGACGTGCCGGAAGCTGAGGAGGACGATGATTAGATAGTATTTTGTCAGATGTTACAGGGAATGTATGGGGAAGTAATAAATCAAATCGGCCTTTATAACAGTTTTATAACTTATCCTTTAAACACACACACACACACACACACAACACACACATATATATATATATATATATATATATATATATATATATATATATATATATATATATATATATGTCAGTTTTAGATACAGACACATTTATATATGTAAAGAGAAAACAACAAAGACTGATGGGCAGGAAAATAGAATAATACTTCCATAATGTTATTGTTGTCATTGGTAATGAGAAGGACGAGAATAATAGTAGTAATAGCAATAAAGATAAGACAGTAGTGATCACAACCATGGTAACAACACCAATAATATTGATTATATAAACCATTTGAATGATGGCAGTTCAATACTAATGATGATAATAACAATTGTAACGATGATAAATGATATAATAATCGTATGATAATGATTATAATTATTATATATTATAATATTATATAACATTATAAAAATGATACCGCTAATGCTACTTTAACTGTTAATGATAACAATGAAAATGAAAATTATATAAAATCATGATGATAATGTTATTGATAATACTAGGAACTGTCATCACTGGTACTGATGATAATGAAAAAGCTTGTGATGGTTGCAAAGCCCATAAAAGCAATGATGATGGTATTAGTAAGAATAATGAGAACAAGATGAAAACTAGGAAATAGTAATAATGATGGTAATAGCAGAGATCTATTAATGATATAGAAAACAATAATAATGATGATAATAAGAGAGATAGAAATTAGAATAATAGGAATAATGATAAGGAGAACCATGTTGATAAAAGCAGCATCGGTGATAAACCCATAAATATAATATTAGCTATAAGAATGTTAATTATGAAAACAATTGTAATGATAATAATAGTAATATTTATATTTATAAAAGCAAAATCATGATATCAATTAGATTAATAACGTCAAGGATCACCATATTGAGTATATTACCGTTACTTATGCTCCTTGAACTGGCAATAATTGATAACAGCTATCATGATAGTTATGACAGGTACAGCTACAATAGTAACACACCTCTGAGGAAACTGAAATGCCACACTCCCTCTTCCTGTAAAGTTCTTTTCTGAATAAACTCGTTTACGCATAAAAAAAAAAAAAAAAAAAATCGGATTATTTATCGCTTATTACTATTGGCAATGGTATTTCAATATGTACATGGCTTATAGCATCGTGTACTGTAGAGACAAGCAAAGTATGAGTGTCCATTTAAAGTACGGGGAAAGAGTACAGAGAGAACAGGAGAGAAGAGCAAGAATAAAGATCGACAAGAGTCACGGACGATAAAAACGGTATCAAGAGCACCTGCTCCTCGTGTTGCGTCGCCGTGTCCTCGGCTGAAGGTTACGCCGTGGGAGTATATATTGTCCAAGCAACAGGCAAGCATCAGTTGCTCTCCTGGAACACGAAAAACATGAAGGTTCTGGTGAGTTCTGTCGCAAGACCCGCTCTATTTATGGGCCTTGCAAATGCTGTGATATCTACGTTCTGTTATCATACAGAAGAGAGTGATCATAAAAAAAAAAAAAAAAAAAAAAATCTGGTTCCCATAATCTTTCTCAGGTTCTCTTCGCTCTGGGTCTGGTCGCCCTGGCCGCCGCCCGACCCTCCGACATCATCGACTTCGAGGAGGACCACATGGAGCACGAGCAGGAGGGCATCCCGGGAACGGCCGTGGAGGGCGAGTACTCGTGGGTAGCGCCCGACGGGAACGAGTACCGCGTCAAGTACGTCGCCGACCGCTTCGGTTACCGCATCGTCGACGACAACGTTGTCCCCAGGATGCGCAGCGACGCGGCCGAATTTGACGACGATGACGACTGAACTTGAAACGAACCAGAAAATTTTACGAATCACCCAGATCAGTTACGAATGATGATGTAATAAAGCATTCACTTTATAATCTTGTCTTTTACTGTTCCAGGAAAACGTGCCTGTACTCTGCATACCCAACAGGTCATGTGACTAAGGGCTTGCTATTGTGCGAGAGAATGAATGACATTTTTCTGGAAAATGCCCTGGGTGTTTTTGCTAAGAGTGCCACCCACAGTCTGAAGAGTCTGTGTGTTTAGAACACAACACATATTACAGTTGTGTAGTACCAAAAGGCCAGGCAAACAGGTATGTTATACTAAGAAATTGTTTGTATTTAGACTATTTCCAAATTAATTTTCTGTTCTTTTTAATTACTATTTATATGTGTGTGCTTATGTATATGTTTGCATTTATGTGTGAGGGCCTATCGCACATCTGCATGTATATGTACTTGATTGTCTGAAAGCGTGTATGTGCATGGCTGTGTCGTCCAGGAGGGTGGATGTGCACGAGAGTGTATAGGTGTGCCTGCATGCACATGAACGCATATGAGTATGTGGGAAATTCTGTGTGTGTGTGTGTGTGTGTGTTTACCCCAGATGACCTTGTTCGTCGCATCATCA